ACCCAAAAATTTATGGTATTTACAAAATCCTCTCTTTTTCCTTTGCTATAAAGATGGCATTTTAGCACTAGGTGGTACTATCATTTGCCCATCCTTAACTAACAAATCAAAAATTTCATCACATTTCGTAATATCGAAAGTATATGTTTTCTTTGGGAATTTGTCGTTCTTTTCAGATTCGACAAAAAAATTTCCAAGTGGGGGAGCCAATACCTTACAAGCGTAAGGAGGTCCTTGTTTTAACTCAGCAACATCTACTTCATTTTTGTCAAAGTATAATGGGTCCTCACATACACCTTCGATGTTTTTGTTATATTCGACATAAGCTACTTTCTTGCTTTTATTGAATTTGGTTTTTCCGTCTTTAAGACGCTCTAGCTGTCGAACCCTATCGGCTAGTTGGGCCATATCCCTCAGGTACTGGGTGTCCAATTTCTTTCTAATGGAGTAGTCAAGGCCCCCCGGCCATTTCGACTAACTCGTGTTCAGGTACTTGAGTGAAACATCTAGCTTTGAGTAGTTGGAACTTATTCAGGTATTCCTCTATTGGCTCAGAAAACTTACGTTTCACGCTAGCCAGTTCCTTTAGGTTGATCTTGGTTCGCCCCACATAGAACTGTTCATGGAACAAACGCTCCAACTGGATCCAATTACAAACCGAGTTAGGGGGTAAGGTAGTAAACCAGGTAAAGGAATTTTTAGTGAGAAAACTAGGGAAGTATTTTATCCTAAGGCTCTCATCATTATCTATTTCTCCAGCTTCGATTATATAACGAGCCACATGTTCGACAGTAGATTCCGTCATGTCCCTTGAGAATTTGGTGAATTTAGGCGCCCTCGTCCTAGGAGGTAATTCTGCCTGGAGAATATAGTCCACTATTGGTGACATGTAATTTGGCCTAGTGAAACCAGTGTTTACCCCATTTCGGGCCATTATTCTTTCGACCATGGCCGCTAAGTTGTTATTGATAGCTATGTTGTTACGTCAAACCTGTTGGACAACATCGTCCGCATCTTGGTTTTGATTTACTATGATTACTCCTGGGTCCCTTTCCCCTGGGATTGGTATTTGATCCCTTGGTGGTTCGAGCCTGTGAAGTTCGACCCTCCCTTGATTCTCTAAATAGGGCTCAGGTAGGTTTCCTAAGTCCTATCGTGGAATATTTTCCATAGTGGTTGTATTCCTAACAGTGGGTGGTACACCTATGAATTCAGCCAGTTGTGTCAACTAGTAATGGTAGCAATTGAAAAAATTGCATACACAACTGTACAATATCTATAAAATGCATCATTGAAGCCATTGACTCTGTAAAAGTAAACTATTTTTAAGTTGAGACTGTGCAGTTTCTCTGAAACTCTTCACTCTAACCAAACAAAAGTGGGTCGAGAAAACACTCATTCTCGAACCGGGTCCTGCTCCGACCCGGCTCGTTTTCAGCAAATAACAAACCGGCCCACACCCAACACCTTTCCCTTGAGCCAACTATTTGCTGTCTCAAACACGCTACCGAAGTGTTGGTCAGATTGGGGCTCTGCATGGAATATCCCAAGCCTAAACTTTGGGGGGTTTCGATTAATATTCACCACAGACCCTGATCCTTATAATGGCGAAGCCATTGCATTATCTGAGAGTATTGGGGGAGTATTATGGATACCTTGTATCACAGTTTTTGGCATTCCATATGGAGGGTTTCTTGGTAATAGTTGTGAAAATCCTAGAGGGATAAACTGTCTGGACGTCGAATTTCCTCTTGGCGGAGTTTGGGGATTCGACGCTTGAGGTCTAATATATTCCAACACTGGCTGGGTGTAAGTCCTTACGCTTGTTGACCTAGGCCCCAATAATGATGGTACTGGTTCCAATCTCGCAGGAGGTACTATTTGCTCTCCAGTCGAAGGTATTGAGGGTGGAACCACGTTATTTCTCAATCCTTCGTGAGGACTAATGGTGTTAGGCTGAAGGTTAGAACCATCTCCTTGAGGATTTGGGTTATTTGGCTGATTTGCATCTGTCGACATGTCCTTAATGTACTTTCTTATTGTTTTTTTTTTTCGTTTATAGCGGCGATTTTGCCACTTCTCAGTAACATATAACAATTTTTTTTTTACGAAAGACGAATAAACTGCAGCTTTGCGAACTTTTTGCAAAACTAAGAAAAAATCTTTAGCACTGTCCCACTGGGTGTGCCATATTATTTTCCTTGAAAAATGGAAAACAGCCGCTGATCTTCCAAATCTAACTTTGGTGACTCACATGATTGATCAGATTGATCCTAGGACATGTGTTAAAAGTTATGTTTTGAACTAGTCTATCTTACTTATACACTTTGACAGTGTTTCAGTAAAAGGACTTTAATCATAAAAGCATTTGTTCGACTAAAGAAAAGAAATAGAGGATTAGAGGAAGGGCAATAGAGATCTTAGAAAAGAGTTTGGAAAAAATAAGGTAAAAATGCATATAAGGGGTAGATTGAGGAAAAGTAAAGGAAAGCTTTGTAAAGTTAAACAAGTAAATTAAACTTCATTGAAAGTAAGGATGGTGTGTTTACATAACGTACAATCTCCTTGAACTCGTTTCTCTACACTCTGATACTTTGAGAAAATTTAGGAGTGACTTATACAAATAGTAAATTACAACACACTGAATTCTATGTCTAAAAATCTTATTTATAATAGTAAAAATAACTACCAATAACCTCCTGAAGTCATCAGCTTCCGACAAATGTCATAGTGCATGCAGTTACTTGCTAAATGAACGCCACTTGTCCTTCTTAGTCATAAGAAAGCATAGCTACTCCCTCCATTATTTGAATTTCAAAACTTCACCAATCTTCAGCCAATGTCTCGGTCGAAGGCCGTTTTCCTCAATGTTTGGAAATTTCTCTAGGTCTCAAAACACTTGAATTTCCACTTGAAGGTCTCCTTGCTCGAAAACTTTTTCATTTCAAAAGACCTTAATATTTTATTTAAATATTTTAATCTATATATGAGGCGTTGAATTTGTGAGCTAACACGATGATAGGTAGGAATCGAATTAGTAGATTAACTCTTTAATCGTAGATGTAATCACTTTTTGACTTATTTTCGTAATCGAAATGTAATCCAAAACAACCTCTAAATCGTTTATTTAGTTGGTTAATAATAGTTTCAAGAGTCCTTGCGATACGACGTCTGAGTGTCGTTTCCGTTTACTGCATTTTGTCTTTAACTCGTTTTTGACCCACGTGAGACAATGGATTAATCTTACATGTACTAGCTATATACCTTGAATTATCATTATTTGGCCTATGCATGATTGGACTCTCAACCGGTCTAGAACAACTCCAAAAGCAATGTGGAAAGACTCGCCTCCCTAGTTTTCGAAGAGATCATGGTGCATCCATGTTTAAAGGATTATGGATTGAGATAACTTATTGGACCATGGAAAAAGCAACCCATGGTATGATTATCCTAAAAGAGTTATGAAAGGGTCGTTAGAAAAATAGGGCTAGCTCGACATTAAGTCACTCGATTGTAGCTTCAAACGCCCAACTAATTCTGTATGTATTACTAACTCATCTCTCTAATATCTGATAGATAAGATATTCTTAATAAGGTCGGTCTTGGTCTTACTTGTAAAATTTATGAGAAAGAACCATTTTCCCTAACTCTCACGTACTCGTTGAAAAGTTGAGAAAAAACAATTTTGAATTTATTTAGTAATCACATATTCATAGCGGACATTTATGTTAAGTAATGTTTGCGTCGTTGACTTTTTATAATAAATTACAAACTCATATATCATTTGAACTGGTTTTTCGCGTTAATCATGAATATGTAATTAAATTTGCATTTGATTGTGTATTTTGGTCGAATCAAACGATTTTTCATTATGTATTTGTCCACTTTTTTCTCTGATTCTCATGAACTATAACTTGTTTAGTAAATTTGATTGCATATTCGTGATAAGAATGAAAAACCAATTTAAATGGTATATAAATTTGCAATTTATTAACTTTAATACTTTAAAATAATTTAAACCACCTAGATAATATTTTTGCTTATTTTCTTTTCGTGTCTCCGTATCAATGTTTTAAAAATCAAAACGAATTTTAAACGATAAAATCAGAAATTAGAGTCAAAACCGCTTAAAACCATTCAAACTAAAAAAACTGACCAATCAAAAAAAAGCTTGTCATTGACCAATTTTAGCATCCTTAAAACATTTTCTCTTCAAATTCCGAAACAATGACCACATTTTAATAATTAGACAAACACTAAAGGGAAACTATGATTTTCATCTTGAAAAATGAAAAACTGATTCATTTAATTTTATTTTCTTTATAAATAAATATACGGCCTGCCACATTAGAACAATGAATATATTATTACTTTTTTAAGAAACTAAGGGGAATTCTTTGTTTCTTTCTTGATGAAAAGAAACTAAATTCAAACATCAAATTGACTCACTCATACAATCAGGAACCGGGAGATAATGCACAAGTAACACGAGTTCTAGTTGCAAAATTGAATTTTCAATACTTCCAGTCTTATAAAACGACTTCTAATTGAAATATTGAATTTTATCAATTTTTCTCGAGTTATAAACCCTCTTTGTTTTTTTAATAAAAGATAATTTTGTTGTATCTCCGGGAATATGAGTCTTGGTGTCTAACCGGGAAACTATGTTTTTTTAATAGGAACATTATCACAGGTTCAATACTACTAGTAAAGTGATACAATCTCCGACTAACTGATAAGTAATGAATTGGATCCCTTAATGTTCCTCAGAAACAAGTGGTCATTTAAGTAATGAATTGGATCCCTTAATGTTCCTCAGAAACAAGTGGTCATTTCAAAGTTTGATCAATTAATCAATCGAATTAGTCAATAGAATTAGTCGTTAATGATAAATGCTTTATCCCTATACAAGATCCACACCCTTGATACACAGTAATCAACTAATAATGGTAGCAATTGAAAAAATTGCATACACAACTGTACAATATCTATAAAATGCATCATTGAAGCCATTGACTCTGTAAAAGCCAACTATTTTTAAGTTGAGACTGTGCAGTTTCTCTGAAACTCTTCACTCTAACCAAACAAAAGTGGGTCGAGAAAACACTCATTCCCGAACCGGGTCCTGCTCCGACCCGGCTCGTTTTCAGCAAATAACAAACCGGCCCACACCCAACACCTTTCCCTTGAACCACTATCCCCCACACCTTCGTTGTCCTTTCTTGCAATCCCCTTCCACCGTCTTCCTCCGCCGCCTCATCTTCACCTAACTCCTCCACGAATATAACTCCATCCGGCATCGGACTCTCTCCCGCCTCCCATCTCTCCTTCACCACCTCCCAATCCTCCTCCATAACCGCCTTCTCCGTCGCTATCGTCACTGTTTCGCTTTTCCTCTTTGAATAAACCTGTACCAGCAACGGTGCGTCCTTCAAATTCTTCACAATATCCACCACCGATTCTCTCATCCACCGATCAAGCCTCTCCTGAGCCTGAACAGCGTCGCTCTTTCCTCCCCCACGCTTCCTCTTTTGTTCCATAATCAAACCATTCTCATGTCCGCTCGCCGTCGCCACCGCCGAGATCCTCCCCTTCCTCACCGTTGATCGAGTCCAATCACCAATCCCGACAGAACAGATATCACACCTTTTATGAATACCGACCCCGGCGGTGAAACGGTTGTTTCCGCCACAGGCAATGCGCATAGACGACGTCGCCATGGAGGATGGCCGGAGAAAACCTAGAACAACACTCAGAGGAAGAAGAGAATGAGAAAACGGGAACAGGTAAGTGAATTTGCGAAGAAACTTCGGTTTGATTAATCAATTATTTTGTAATCACGTAAAGGAAGAAGAATGTGAAAGAGAAGGAGTAGAACACAGAGAACATAAGAGAGAGAAATTGAGAAAGATGGTTGTTTAAGTGATGACGCGTTCAAAAGTAACGGCGGAGAATAAATAGAGCAATTCGTTTTATTTATCACGCTTCAAAGATGACGTGGATACTGACTCAATTTCCTACGTGGCAATAATTTTAAATTCCTTTGCTTGTTGGGATGGCATCGACCTTTGCTTTGGGAGAGTAGTATTCAAACAGGTTTTATTCTGTGCGGTTGAATTTTATTGGGGTAAGACCCGAAGTGGATCTAGACCGTTGATTTATCGATGGTTTGCTGAGGTGGAAAAAATTTTAATACGGGAGTGCATGAGATTATGTTGGTTTAGATTATAATGGGATTTGCATCCGACTGGCACGAGGTTATGTTGTGCGGGAACGTGGATTTCTCTTTCTCCACGAGCCTCACACGCAACAAGTTAAGAAAAAAAACGCGCTGTATAGTTTTTAATTTTATTTTAAGAAACACGCTTTTTTTTTTGTTTCTAATATATTTTCCTTTTCCAAATTATTTTTCATATGTAATTACATTCTCTTTTTAAAAATTTGCTATCAACAACTCACACCAATTAAATAATCTTTTTAAGTAATGTGTTAGTAATGTTGGAAAACATTTCTTAATCAACCTTTCACAACCAAAAGAGTGAATGGAATTAAATTTTGAAACATATTTTTCTGTTAGCTTACAAAGGACGAAACTAGTACTAACTTTTTTTTCAAAAGCCAAAATATATTTAAAATAGTACAAGCTGTAACAGTTATCTAAGATAATGAACAACAGTAACACCAAAATAGTTTTCCATATAAAAAAATAGAAATGATATAGTTATACCATGTTTAACATATATAATTGTTCCGGTGTGGGCCTCACCTCGGCAGGCCCAATACCAAATACGGCCCAACAGGCGAACTGAGCACACCTGGCACACGCCCCTTCGGACGAGCAGGACCGTCCGCCGGGCACAAGCCATCACGCCGCATCCCCTTCGTCGTCCGTCTCACCAGACGAGCGAGACTACCCGGGCTCCCTCCGCGGGAGAATAACGTGCTCGGCGCACGTTCTCCACGTGCTCCCCTCCGCGGGGACACGTCATCGGCCAACCGCCCACCTCCGAAAGAGCAGGTCAAACCCACTTTCCGGAGACCTAGGAGCGGTTGAACTAGGGCGAAGACCACGTCCTGGTCTTCACTACGCCACGTAAGCCCTAGCAGTCATTAGGGTTGGGCCTGGTCGTCTGGCCCACCTCGAATGACCGTTGGCCCAGCGCTGGGGTCTCTCTATAAATACCCTCTTCTTCAAGAGGGTCAGGTAACTCTTCTTGCCCCCTTTTCTGTACTATTGCTTCCTCTCTGTCCAACTTCTTACTTGGGCGTCGGAGTGCTTTGCAGGTACACCCCCTCCTCGTTCTTACCTCGGCGAACAGATAACCGTCCGGCGAAGCGTGGCCAGTCCGTGATCCCTCCTGATCAGGTCAGATCAGTGGCGCCGTCTGTGGGAACGGAAACTTCCCCGTTACTCCGAGCAGAAAAACCAAAAGTTTCACCAAACCTCCACGGTCATGGCCAGCCCACGCCGCGATGACACTCCGCACGATCTCGCGCTCAACACTGCCACCAACGGGAAGCAGGTAGGAACGGCGCGCCTGAATGAAGCCGAAGAAAGAGACGGGCAAACTGCCTCACCATCGTCCGAGGAAAGGCCCCTGCATGCCGACCATCGCCCCCCGAGCCCGCCGGCGTTCCACCCCGTTCCCATCCCGGCGGGAGCGGACCCCACGGTAGCCGCCCTCTTTGCAGCCATCAACCAGACGAACCAGCTGCTGTCCCAACAGAACGCTAGAATTGGAGCGTTGGAACGCGGCGGCTCCCCGAGGTACCCCCAGCGGGAAGACCAGAACGGAGGTTCGAGGAGCCCCTCACCTCGACCCAGGAACCGCCGACCGCGGTTGGAGAGACGCCGCCCCCAAGCGACACGGGAGCGCACCAGATCCCCGGCAAGACACGGTCGCGGGAGGAACCAGAACGCCGCGGCGACCCCAACCGAGGAAACCCGAGGCGGGAGCACAGGCCGGAGATCGAGGGCCCGAAACCCGGGACACACCGCGATCGGCTCATCCCCCCTGAGATCCCCGGCGCACAGCGACGAGGATGACTACCGCACCCCACTATCCCGGGAGATCATGGCGGCCCCTATACCCCAAGGAATGGAGAAGCCACCGACGCTGTCAACGTACGACGGCACCTCCGACCCGGACGATCATCTGGAAGACATCGAGGCCATGCTCGACTACCGCAATGTCCGGGGAGCTATCAAATGCAGACTCTTCCCGACGACTCTGAGGAAAGGCGCTATGACCTGGTACAAAAGCCTGGAGCCCGAATCAGTTACATCGTGGAGGGTCTTGAAGGACCTATTCTCCAAACACTTCACAGCGTCCCGGCGTCACCCGAAGACGGAAGCAGTCCTCGGGGCGATCATCCAAGGCCCCGACGAACCCCTCCGGAAATACATCGAAAGATTTACTCGGGAAGCCGTACAGGTGACGACTTCCGACGAAATGAAACGCTACTTAATGGAGCAAGGCCTGCGCCATGACTCCAAATTCTACGAGGCCGTGGGCATACACCGGCCCACGTCCCTCCAAGACTTCCTCGACAGGGCCGCCCACTACATCCGGTTCGAGGAAACACAAGCGGCCAACTCCGCCCGCGACACCCGAGACAGAGAAGCCCCCCGCGGGCACCGAGACGACGGAGCTTCGAGCCACCGGCGAGGAGGGGACCGCCGTCGGGATGACCGCCACCGCGAACCCCGCGAACAGCGCGAGTCGCGCGGCCCGGCAGGAAGGTTCACCGAGTACACCGCCTTGGTCGCTTCCCGCGAACGCATACTGGCCGAATGCGCTAAAACCGAGTTTGTGCAGGGAGGTGTCCGTTTTCCACGACCAACGCCGCCCAAACCCAACGTGGACAAGTCAAAGTACTGCCGGTTCCACAGGACCCACGGGCATGTAACGGAAGACTGCATCCATCTCAAAGATGCGATCGAAATCCTAATCAAAGATGGGCACTTAAAGCGATACACCCGGGGAGGTGAACCACCCAGATCGGAGGCCCCGGAGGCAAAGAAAATCGAGGAGCTCCCCTGCCCAGAAGACGGTGAGAGACTCCAGGTCGCGCTGTGCGTCAGCCGCCCCGAGGACTGGTTCGCAAGCAGAGGACTCGGCATCCCCGAAGCACCCAGCTTAGTCGGCGAGCCAATCCGACCAACCAGCCGATGGGAATACTTCCCCAGAGCCATGGTCATCTCTGATGGCGCTACGAGGAGTCTGTCCATAGGATCTGTGAAAAGGAAATTCGACGAACTCATCGCGGGCAACTCCGGCAAGATGAGCACGCTCGACAGATTCCGAGGCCGCTCCAACCCGATCACGTTCTACCTCGAGGAACTACCCGGGGGATCTCCCAATTCCAACATACCCTTGCTCATACGCGCACGTATGGCAAACTTCGACGTCAGGCGCCTCCTCGTCGACGGAGGGAGCTCGGTTGACATAATGTACTCACATTTGTTCACAACTCTCCAGCTCAACGAGTCCAACCTCTCCCCCTACGTAGGCTCCGACCTCCAGGGGTTCAACGGGACGACGACAAGACCCTGGGGATACGTGGAACTGAAAGTCACCTTTGGGGAAGAGGAAACGGCCAGAGACATCAGCATCCGCTTCTTAGTCATCGAATGCCCGTCCCTGTATAACTGCATCCTGGGCAGGACAACGATAGCAGAACTCACCGCGGTACCCTCCACCGCCCACCTGAAGATGAAATATTACACGAGAAGGGGAGCCGTGGTCACCCTCAACGGCGACATCGAAGCTGCCCGAAGGTGTTTTGAAGCCGCGCTGAAAGGCTTCGACTCCATCGCTCCACCGACCAAAAAGAAAGCACCGAGCGCTACGCCAAAGGACAAGCCAACAGAGCTGGTCGGATCAGTTGAGCTCGACAGTCGCTTCACCGACGAGCTCGACAATAAAAAGACTGACGCGGCCAACGAGCATCCAGCGCGCCCCATCCCGGATGGCGATTTCGAGCTCATTCCCCTCGGGGACGACACGACCAGAACCGTAAGGGTAGGCGCAGGACTCCCCGACCTCGCGAAACGACAGCTCCAAGCCTGCCTCCGCGAGAATGCCGACCTCTTCGCCTGGAGCGCCGCGGAAATGCCGGGACTCGACCCTGAGGTCGCCTGCCACCAGCTGTCCATCAGCCCGACCGCAAAGGCCGTGGTGCAACGCCGTCGCCGCCAGTCTCCAGAAAAATCGGCAGCAGCCGAACAAGCTGTAAAAGACCTCTTAGAGGCAAATTTTATTTCGGAAGCCCGGTATTCCACCTGGCTGTCCAACGTTGTACTTGTTAAAAAGAATAATGGAAAATGGCGCATGTGTGTTGACTACACTGACCTCAACCGGGCATGTCCTAAGGACGCCTACCCCCTCCCCAACATCGACAAGCTCGTCGACAACTCGGCGGGCTTCAAACTCTTGTCCTTCATGGACGCATACTCGGGATACAATCAGATCCCGATGGCCGAACACGACAAACAGGCCACGGCCTTCATGACAGCATCGGGCAATTACTATTACAACGTAATGCCTTTCGGCCTCAAAAACGCCGGGGCCACGTACCAACGGATGATGAACCGCGTCTTCCACGAGGAGATCGGGGACATGCTCGAAGTCTATATGGACGACATGATCGTCAAATCCGGCGCGGAAGACGACCATGCGGCACATCTCCAGAAGGTCTTCAAGACCGCGAGATCATG